AGGGCCGGTGAGCGGAGGAGGAGAAGATTAATGTCAACAAGGGCCGGTGAGCGGAGGAGGAGAAGATTAATGTCAACAAGGGCCGGTGAGCGGAGGAGGAGAAGATTAATGTCAACAAGGGCCGGTGAGCGGAGTAGCGGCTAGGGTTCCGCTCCCCTCTAATATTTCTAAGTGAAGGCTCGATATTTTGGTGTCTTAAATTTGAGTAACCACATTTTATTTATTTATAATTTTACATAATGAATTTTTTAATTTGTGCTTTAAAAAAAAGTATATCTATTATATTTTTGTATTATAATTAATTTATGCAAAACTATAAATATTGAGTTTGATTTAATTAATTAATCAATTAAAATTATTCATGTGATTAATATTAAAATAAAGATAATTTTTTATATTTTTTATATAAATTTATGGTAAAAATATATTTACTACTCTTTTTAATTACAAAACCCTTATACAATAGTTTATTCTATGTGATACAGCATTCGAATAAGTGAATGTAGACTAATTTATGTGTCCACAATATAACATACAAATAGAGCAGTATATATTAATCTTTACTAGATAATATATATCAATCATAGCTAAAACCAACGATTTATTGGTCTGAGTAGAAAGAGTTGATCCCTTTAAGTAAGGTCTCAAATTCGAGTATTGTGAATGGGAAAACAGACGCTGGAGGAGCTTCCTCCTAATGGGGCTAGATGCGGCTTGATTCTAAATTAGTCGAGACTCAATATGATTATCATATACTGTGAGGTTAATACAAAAAAAAAAAAAATCATAGCTAAAATAGAGTGTATTAATTTTGGTTTTTTTTTAAAAAAAAATTTAAAGTTTTTTTTTTAAAAAAAATTTAAAGGTACTACTTAAAAAGCAGTACTACTTAAAAAGCACTATTTTTTAATATATATTTTTTAAAAACTAACCGTTAGATTTAATATTTTATTTATATGGATAATGCATATCAATTTTTGTATTGATTGAATATATTTAATTAATTTATTAATTATATAAAATTTATCATAATTAAATATATATTAAAAAATACAAGTTTTTTTAATCAAATGATTATAAATGTTAGATCAACTTGGTGTATATAATTTATATTAATAGAACATTAAATCTGATAGTTGATTTTTGAAAATATTCTTTAAAGGGTGGTAATTTTAAAGTTGAGATTCTAATTTCTTTATGAGAGTTAAGACTTATATATACTTTTCTTTACATATATAATATATATTTGGGTTTGTTTAAGTGTATAAGTTAAGGATGCATTAATTCCATCTTTTTCATACTAATTTATATAGGAAAAATCAAAAATTAATTTCATTTTCAATATCAATTACACATGTTTGATTTTAATTAGATTGTTGTTTAAATTAAAGTTAATTTTTATTTTTTCTGTAATAATTATTAAAAAAAATTTATTAATACACTTTTACCCCATACCCTAAGTTCACAAGATAAAAAAACCCTATATATCTATTTTTTATAAAAAAAGATAAATTTCATTGATAAAATGAAGTACTGCGAAAGTGCGAATTGTAGTAGAGGTATAATGGACCTTCAAATGTGACCGTCAAGAATCCCACTCAAAATCTCTATATAACAAAGTACTTCTAATTACCAGCAAGTGATAAAAAATATAAATGAAAAAATGTTTACTTTCTAATTAATCACCAATAAGCAATTTCTATATGATTAATTTTATGTTAGTTTGAGTAGAAAGAATTTGAATTTAGTTAAATAAAATTTTAAATTTAAGTTCTGTGAATAGA